ACTTCATGATTGCCGGCCATACTTACATTCGACATTGACATTGACCTAAAAAAAAAATAGCGAATAGCAAAAATAATTTATAATATCAAGCAACCTCCAAGCACAATTTGATCCTTAAAGGAAAAGCCAAGACCGCCGTGGATCTGAGATTCCTATTCTAGGAAATCACAGCAGCCTCTTTGTTATTTAGCTTGGTTTGTGAACAATTTTTTTTCTTATCTCTCTCTCTCTCTCTGTTTTTTTTTTCTCAAGGAACTATAAAGTTTCTTCTAATGAGTTTCAAAGGTATAAATTTTTCTCTCATGAATTTTTTTTATAGGTTGCAATCTTATGTTTCTTATTTTAATCTTTTAAATGTAGACTGAAAGTGGAAATTTAGAACAAAATTCGTTAGTTACTCAACACTTATCAATCTTATTTTTTTCAATTTTTTTGAGCCAATATGATAATCAACAAATACATACAAAATTAGGACAAAAATATACCTATGAAATTAGGGTTCTTTGGAGTAATGTGTATCAATCTTATTTTTTCTATTTTTTTTTTTTTAGCTAATATGGTAACCAACAAATGCATACAAAATTAGGGCAAAATATATCTATGAAATTAGGATTCTTTGGAGTAATGTGTGTGTATGAGAGAGAGAGAGAGAGAGAGAGAGAAACGATTACAATAACTTACAGTTTCGTATTCGGGTCTCAAGGATTTGGGTATGGCCACCTTTACCACCGGCAGTGTACATGGTTGTGGTCGTTGTCTTCCTCCCCTTTGTTATTTCCATCTTCCTTCACGGAGTTTGAGTTCGTGAGAAGAGAAAAGAACAACTTTGTTTTCGAGGAAATCTTGAATTTATTTATTTTTTTACTGAAGCAATCTAAGCCACCCATTGTTAAGTGGGTGACGTAGATCATCCCTCGGAAGAAGCACTAGAGACAACTATTGGAAAGTAATGGTGAGCAGCGGATATACCGATCCGTCAAAACCGATAGAACCGAACCGATCCGCCGCGTTTTGGACGGATGTGTGATGACGAGCGGATGGTTGCAGATTGATTTTCTCCAATCTGCCGATCTGGCGGACGGATGACAGATTTGAGATTCCATTGACCGCAACCGAACCGCTGAATCGCCGAACTGCCGAACCGCTAGCACTCCTAGTAATTTATAAGACTTTGTGTTTTCAGTTTTTTTAAATATTCTGTTTGTGTTTTCAATTAAAAAAGAGTTTAAATATTCTGTTGAAAAAAAGTTTTCAACTTGAATATCTTTTTTGAATTGAAAAAAATAAACGTATTATTTATCTATATTTTTTGGTTTTTAAATCTATCTCTAAAAATAATAAAAAGAAAATATGATATATGTTGGTTGGTTTTTGCTTTCAAAAACAGATATAGATGTAACAATACAGAGACATACAATCTCTACTACTGCTCTGTTTATGGTTTTGCTAGTTTGAATTGTTTTTATATTTTAAGAACCACAGATTGTAATACTTTTATGTAGATGAGGCATGTTGTGATTGTAGTATGTAGATGAGGCATGCAGTGATTGTAATATTCTAAAGTTTCAAACTTTCTTACTTTGGATGAGGCATGCAGTGATTGAAATATTTTTTTAAGTCATTAACTGTAATATTTTTTTTTTTTTGAAGAAGTATACAAGTTGAATTATGTTGAAAATTTATAAAATTTTAAACCGCCAGACCAATTCGCATCCATCTGCCAATCCGCTCAATCCACATCCGTCGGATTGGCGGACGGATGCAGATTGATTTTCTCCAATCCGCCAATCTACCAGACGGATGGCAGATTAGAAATTCCGTGGCCGCAACCGAGCCGCGCCCCACCCCTATTGGAAAGAATTCGAACTAGCTGTGATAGTACCTCATTTTTATCCAATGTGATGGTCACTCATTCGTTACCTGTCCAAACATAGATAAATTAAAAAAAATTTCTATCTACATCTGTCCTTACTATCGAAACTGTTTATAAATTAGATTTAATTGGTCGGTTGAATTGTTGGATTCACAAACCCTCCTAATTTTTAGTATCACATCTCCTAAAAAATTGTGAAATGGAAAAAAAAAATTTGAGTAAATTATGCAAATGGTCCTATAATTTACATGATGTGTCAATTTGGTTTTACTGTTTTAATCTATTTGATTTTGTCCCTTAATTTAACAGATTGTGTGATATTGGTCAAATAAATAACGTGTCACGACCCCATTCCGCCCCTAGTAGAATGGGGTCGTGATGGCCAGTAATCCGAGATTACCAAAGGCCAACTTACAAAGATTCATACACAATCAGAGTATTACATATGGGGTTTACATGTGCGGAAGCAATATATTTAAATCTAAGTAGTCCATAAAAGCTGTGCATAGATCAAATGAAACGACATACAACTTAGCATGGTTTTACAACTTGGATACAATAATAAGAAATACAAAATACATCTTGACCAAAAGGCTTTTCAAGCCGACATATACAAACACAGTGAAATATAAACTAAGAAGCATGATCTTCAAGATGCTACAAAAATGCGAATCCAAGACACGTCGGCAAACACATCCAAAACATATCGGCAACACATCTAGGCCTCATCGCCTTCTTGTTCATCACTTACATATATATAGAGAGGGTGAGCTTGGATACTCAGTGAATGATATTAGAAATAAAGGTTTTGCATGATTGATGTCCGAGATCTTTTCCAAAACAATACATATCATAACTTTACAAGTCAATGGATGAATCAAGTTCATCCGTCAAACCTTTCAAGTTCCTTGGATGTTAATAACATCTACGTAATACCAAATGATGACATTCCGGACAAACAAACCCACCCGTTCATAGATCGTCGGTGGCAAAACAAGGGTGCAGTTGCATTATAGTCCCCTGGCACTAAGGACTTTCAAGACAAGGGTGCAGTTGCATTATAGTCCCATGGCACTAAGGACTTTCAAGACAAGGGTGCAGTTGCATTATAGTCCCATGGCACTAAGGACTTTCAAGACAAGGATCAAATACTTTTCAAAACAAGGCAAAGCAAAGCTTTATCAAAACTTTATAACATAGTTTTATTAAAAATACCACTCACATAGTTCTTCGGGTGTGGGGGTTTCAAGCGAGGATCCAAGGCCTACAAACACATGGCAAAGTTTACTGAATGCACTTCTCAAAGCAAGTCCTACATGCATGCAGATGATCTCGGGAAAACATGCTGGGGTTAAAACACTGTTTTACATGTCGAGAAGACATGCTGGGTACTAACCAGGTCTTGGCCGAGGTCCCACACCTTCTCGCCGAGGTGTGGCCCTAACGGCTACATTCAAAAGCGAAGTCGGAAAAATCTGGGTTTCCCTTTGAGGAACATGAAGAACATGAAGATGGAGAAGATAAAGAACATGCATGCTTAAATCATAACTTGTTATTACAAAATTTGAGATTTCATGCTATGAGTTCGAAAACATGGATCTTGGTACCATACCTGAAGATCATATGAAAACAAACACGAAAGCATGCATCTTGATACAAACTTTCGGATCAAAACCTGGCTTTTCCTCAAGAACACATGAATATCACATTCTCTATCTAAAACCGAACTTCAAAGCAATGCATGGTTCATGAAATATGCTAGATCATGCAATGCGATTAGGTCAAGATAAAGAATAACAAGAGTGGGTCAAGAACCTAACCTCAATACACGAATCTAACGGTTTGATCTCTAGGAATCAAGCTCGAAGATCTACTCTCTCACTCTAAAACTTCTTCTTCCTCGTAGAGCTTCTCTCTCTAAAAGGCAAGATATGATACAAAATGATAGGTTCTCTCGTCTGGTTCTGGGCTTAACCTTCTACTAAGGCAGGTGGCAGCGACCGGTTGGGTTCCCTCAAAAGTGGCTGACAGACCAGACAAAAGTATGGCGAAAGAGTGTTCAACAAGTAAAGCGGCATGGGCATTCTGGCAAGATAATGACATCGGTGACATCATCGGCTCTGACAGGTAAGGTATCAATGATCTCAGCTAGGAAGGACAACACTTGGTTTAGCTGTGCCACACCTCGGTCTAGGTCGTACCAATCCAGGAACAAGATCACTTGGGTTCGAGGATAACATCTCGGCCTAGATGATACACATCTCGGCCTTGGTGATACACACCTCAGCCTAGATAATGACATCTCGGCCAACATGCCAGGATAAAGGTAGAGGTCAACCAAAGTGGTTCCAAGGTGGTTCTAGGCTCAAGGTGACCTCGGCTAGACTTACTAGGAAAGGAACAAGACTACCAAGCAATTTCACATAAGTACAAACCAAGACAAGAATCTTATTCTAGGTAAAACAAGTCAGAATTCACTGATGCAAGCTTAGCAAAACAAGATTGTATAGATGCTCATGCACAGGGTTAAGGTGGGGAATGGGGGTCACTACATAACGGCTATTAGGTTTTGTGAGTAGAAACTTAAACAATGTGTAAATTTAATCCCTGTAATTTACACGACGTTTCAATTTGGTCTTTGTCAAAATCTAGCAAATTAAAATAATAAGAATTAAATTGACATATCGTGTAAATTACAAATACTAAATTAACATATTATTTGAGCATATAATAACTTTTTGTCCATCAAACTTAACGTCTATTATTTATTAAACCAATACCAGTTGAATTAAAAGAAAAGAATAATGCTTGGGACCCCCTTTTGGGGGTCACCCCCTCACTCCCTTTGCCACGTGGCGGGTGGTGATTGGAGGAGCAGGAAAAAAAAAGAAAAGAAAAAGAAAATGTAACCAATGAGAGAGAGAGGGGATCAAAGGGGGTGGGAGGAAAAGGGGAGATGAATCATTGTTGAAAAGAAAAATTGGACAAATTAAAATAACATGAATCAAATTAACACATCATTTAAACTACAAGAGCATTTAACACAAAAAAAAAACTTGTCACGTGTAGACGGCAAATGCGAGCGTGCGTCCTCAATCTTCACCAAAGTGATAAGAGATATATTTGATGGTCCTCCATAAAGTCCTCTGCTACTCTCTCTCTCTCTCTCTCTCTCTCTATTTCCCGCTTGAAAGACCCCACGAATGTCCAGAGGTTTAGGGTTTCTAATTCATAGATTTGATCCTCAGTAACCTGTATAATCTCTCTACACTTTCGATTAACTTATTGGGAAACAATCAGTAACAATCATAGAAATGGCGGCTTTCAGTGGCCTCTCGCTATGCTCCTACAATTTCTCTTGTCGACCAAACCCTAACAAGCGTCTCTTTTTGTGCTCTCTCGCCTCTCCTTCTTCAATAGGTAAGCAGTCTTCGAGCTTTTCCTGACAAAGTGGAAAGTTTTATCTTTTCTTTTTTCTTTCTGGCATGTTTTTCTGATTAACCAAACAGGGGATATAGCTCGTTAATGTATTGGATTATGATGTGAGACGTACTATTTGTGTTGTTTATTGATAGCTAATTAATTGGATGAATGAGATTTTCTATTACATATGGCTCTCTTTGCAAACAAGTGATTTATGACATGTTTGTAATCGGTAGATTAGGGCACTTAAATCTTCTATTCATACTAAAAAATGTATTTTTGCAAGTTGTTGTAGAGCCTTATAATTGAAATCAGAAATTCATGATTGAAGCTTTGGTTCATTGTAGCATGACTTTAACAAATTATGTTCTGGTTTCATGTTTGCTTAAAGCAAATGCCAGAGTTAAAAATCACTTCATCCTCTGGGTTGTTGCCAAGAAAAAAAGGGGGACAAGAAATGGAAACAAAATCTTTATCTTATGCCTGTTTTTGGGTTTCCAAGAAATGAAAAACTTCAATCTGCCCAAGCTAATTGTTGGACTAGGTTCACTTGACTGGGGTTATATTTTCTAGGTGGTAAGCAATAAAATTTTTAAGATTTTAGAAGTTTTAAAGCTACAGGACATATTTTATCTTAGGTTTTGTTTGTAGAATACAAAAGATAAGTTTACCCATATCATAAATTGTCTTCTCCAATAAATGTGTTTCTTATTCTTTCGATGTACATTTCTGCCTGTTGCAATCCCTCTTGTTTACTTTTGTTAAAATCCAACCTTATCAATTGTTTTGTTTTGTTTTGTTGTCTTTGTTATATTTATTTCTGAAATACATGAATGTGATACTGTTGGTCCATTGTAGGTACGCGTGGACCTAAAGTACCCCGTAAAAAATCAGGAAGATTGGAAGGGGCTGGAAAAAGTATGGAAGATTCTGTTCAGCGTAAGATGTGACAGTTTTATGAAGAGTCTGATGGTCCACCTCTCCGTGTCCTTCCAATTGGAGGCCTGGGTGAAATTGGGATGAATTGCATGCTTGTTGGGAATTATGATCGTTATATTTTGATCGATGCTGGTGTTATGTTTACGGAGTAAGTCTTAACAAACTGGTCTGATTTACATTTGTTTAACAAGTTGTAGCTTGGTGATCATCATGCTTCGTTCCTGTCATCTGAAGGTTTTTGTTTTCTTGGGGTCTTACCAAAGTATATGCTCAATTGCGTAATTTCATCTGTGCTACATCTTTTCCTGCTGCTCTGGATTCTCTGCTGCAAGTAGAGGATCTAATTGTATTAATCAAATTTGCTTCATAAAATTATTTTTCCAGCGTGGAAAACTCTGGCAGGCATGAACTTTTTCTAAATGATTTTATAATTATTTGTCACCTGAAACCATGTGACAACGCTGCACATCCACACGAGCGAGCATGCAAGGCTAGAGTAAATCCAAACAATCTTGTACCACAATAATCAGGGGAATAAAATAAATATTCAATTATAAGGTTCTAAAATCCACCCAAAAAAAAAAAAACTACAATAAATCTTAAACATTTAGAAACTTGCACCAAAATCCCCTAGTATTCCATTAACAAAATTTGTAATCTAAAATAAATTAAAATCAAACTCCTACACTCAGCACTCCCACAAGCAAAACCTACGCAACTCTGCTCCTCTGAATTTGACAAAACCATAATAAAAGAAGGGTGAGCTCAACAATCTAACAAATGACCAACTATCAGTACTAGTTGGATCAAGCATATAGAAAATAGTCGATAAGCAAGGAAATATGGTTTCTAACAATTCAATGAAGGAGCAATTTATTTCCAAGGTAGACACCTAGCTAAAATTAACATAGAGTAATGTCACAATTTATTTGAAAAGAAAAGTAATCCAATAAAAAGTCATTTGTTCAAGACAATGGTTTGATATCCAATAGTACAATAATTCAATAAACAAAACCCAAGTCTCAAAAGACTATGGCCACATTAGTCCGTGACAAGATCCAAAACCACACATAGGCCTTTGGTAAAAGCCCCAGTAGAAACTAGTTTTTATGCCAATAAATAACCTCCATTGGCTAGAGGTCCAAATCATAGTTAGACTGGAGTCATGTTTGCAATTCAAACAAGAAATAAAATATTCAATGTCTTTGGAATAACATTTTGATAAAATTTGTTCGAATTGTTTCACAAAATATATCTGATTTATTTGCACAATTCATATTCGATGTTATTTCATAGTTGATTCGTAATTTTCTTTAAAGAACACAAGTGAGTGATAAAATATATATTTTTCTTTTTGCAATACACGAAACATATAGGGCTTGTTTGATTTGTTTTTGGGAGAGTTGTTTTTGAAAAAAAATAAAAAATGTATTTTTGCTATTCATACTAAAAAATGTATTTTTGCTATTCATACTAAAAAATGTATTTTTGCTATTCATACTAAAAAATGTATTTTTGCTATTCATACTAAAAAATGTATTTTTGCTATTCATACTAAAAAATGTATTTTTGCTATTCATACTAAAAAATGTATTTTTGCTATTCATACTAAAAAATGTATTTTTGCTATTCATACTAAAAAATGTATTTTTGCTATTCATACTAAAAAATGTATTTTTGCTATTCATACTAAAAAATGTATTTTTGCTATTCATACTAAAAAATGTATTTTTGCTATTCATACTAAAAAATGTATTTTTGCTATTCATACTAAAAAATGTATTTTTGCTATTCATACTAAAAAATGTATTTTTGCTATTCATACTAAAAAATGTATTTTTGCTATTCATACTAAAAAATGTATTTTTGCTATTCATACTAAAAAATGTATTTTTGCTATTCATACTAAAAAATGTATTTTTGCTATTCATACTAAAAAATGTATTTTTGCTATTCATACTAAAAAATGTATTTTTGCTATTCATACTAAAAAATGTATTTTTGCTATTCATACTAAAAAATGTATTTTTGCTATTCATACTAAAAAATGTATTTTTGCTATTCATACTAAAAAATGTATTTTTGCTATTCATACTAAAAAATGTATTTTTGCTATTCATACTAAAAAATGTATTTTTGCTATTCATACTAAAAAATGTATTTTTGCTATTCATACTAAAAAATGTATTTTTGCTATTCATACTAAAAAATGTATTTTTGCTATTCATACTAAAAAATGTATTTTTGCTATTCATACTAAAAAATGTATTTTTGCTATTCATACTAAAAAATGTATTTTTGCTATTCATACTAAAAAATGTATTTTTGCTATTCATACTAAAAAATGTATTTTTGCTATTCATACTAAAAAATGTATTTTTGCTATTCATACTAAAAAATGTATTTTTGCTATTCATACTAAAAAATGTATTTTTGCTATTCATACTAAAAAATGTATTTTTGCTATTCATACTAAAAAATGTATTTTTGCTATTCATACTAAAAAATGTATTTTTGCTATTCATACTAAAAAATGTATTTTTGCTATTCATACTAAAAAATGTATTTTTGCTATTCATACTAAAAAATGTATTTTTGCTATTCATACTAAAAAATGTATTTTTGCTATTCATACTAAAAAATGTATTTTTGCTATTCATACTAAAAAATGTATTTTTGCTATTCATACTAAAAAATGTATTTTTGCTATTCATACTAAAAAATGTATTTTTGCTATTCATACTAAAAAATGTATTTTTGCTATTCATACTAAAAAATGTATTTTTGCTATTCATACTAAAAAATGTATTTTTGCTATTCATACTAAAAAATGTATTTTTGCTATTCATACTAAAAAATGTATTTTTGCTATTCATACTAAAAAATGTATTTTTGCTATTCATACTAAAAAATGTATTTTTGCTATTCATACTAAAAAATGTATTTTTGCTATTCATACTAAAAAATGTATTTTTGCTATTCATACTAAAAAATGTATTTTTGCTATTCATACTAAAAAATGTATTTTTGCTATTCATACTAAAAAATGTATTTTTGCTATTCATACTAAAAAATGTATTTTTGCTATTCATACTAAAAAATGTATTTTTGCTATTCATACTAAAAAATGTATTTTTGCTATTCATACTAAAAAATGTATTTTTGCTATTCATACTAAAAAATGTATTTTTGCTATTCATACTAAAAAATGTATTTTTGCTATTCATACTAAAAAATGTATTTTTGCTATTCATACTAAAAAATGTATTTTTGCTATTCATACTAAAAAATGTATTTTTGCTATTCATACTAAAAAATGTATTTTTGCTATTCATACTAAAAAATGTATTTTTGCTATTCATACTAAAAAATGTATTTTTGCTATTCATACTAAAAAATGTATTTTTGCTATTCATACTAAAAAATGTATTTTTGCTATTCATACTAAAAAATGTATTTTTGCTATTCATACTAAAAAATGTATTTTTGCTATTCATACTAAAAAATGTATTTTTGCTATTCATACTAAAAAATGTATTTTTGCTATTCATACTAAAAAATGTATTTTTGCTATTCATACTAAAAAATGTATTTTTGCTATTCATACTAAAAAATGTATTTTTGCTATTCATACTAAAAAATGTATTTTTGCTATTCATACTAAAAAATGTATTTTTGCTATTCATACTAAAAAATGTATTTTTGCTATTCATACTAAAAAATGTATTTTTGCTATTCATACTAAAAAATGTATTTTTGCTATTCATACTAAAAAATGTATTTTTGCTATTCATACTAAAAAATGTATTTTTGCTATTCATACTAAAAAATGTATTTTTGCTATTCATACTAAAAAATGTATTTTTGCTATTCATACTAAAAAATGTATTTTTGCTATTCATACTAAAAAATGTATTTTTGCTATTCATACTAAAAAATGTATTTTTGCTATTCATACTAAAAAATGTATTTTTGCTATTCATACTAAAAAATGTATTTTTGCTATTCATACTAAAAAATGTATTTTTGCTATTCATACTAAAAAATGTATTTTTGCTATTCATACTAAAAAATGTATTTTTGCTATTCATACTAAAAAATGTATTTTTGCTATTCATACTAAAAAATGTATTTTTGCTATTCATACTAAAAAATGTATTTTTGCTATTCATACTAAAAAATGTATTTTTGCTATTCATACTAAAAAATGTATTTTTGCTATTCATACTAAAAAATGTATTTTTGCTATTCATACTAAAAAATGTATTTTTGCTATTCATACTAAAAAATGTATTTTTGCTATTCATACTAAAAAATGTATTTTTGCTATTCATACTAAAAAATGTATTTTTGCTATTCATACTAAAAAATGTATTTTTGCTATTCATACTAAAAAATGTATTTTTGCTATTCATACTAAAAAATGTATTTTTGCTATTCATACTAAAAAATGTATTTTTGCTATTCATACTAAAAAATGTATTTTTGCTATTCATACTAAAAAATGTATTTTTGCTATTCATACTAAAAAATGTATTTTTGCTATTCATACTAAAAAATGTATTTTTGCTATTCATACTAAAAAATGTATTTTTGCTATTCATACTAAAAAATGTATTTTTGCTATTCATACTAAAAAATGTATTTTTGCTATTCATACTAAAAAATGTATTTTTGCTATTCATACTAAAAAATGTATTTTTGCTATTCATACTAAAAAATGTATTTTTGCTATTCATACTAAAAAATGTATTTTTGCTATTCATACTAAAAAATGTATTTTTGCTATTCATACTAAAAAATGTATTTTTGCTATTCATACTAAAAAATGTATTTTTGCTATTCATACTAAAAAATGTATTTTTGCTATTCATACTAAAAAATGTATTTTTGCTATTCATACTAAAAAATGTATTTTTGCTATTCATACTAAAAAATGTATTTTTGCTATTCATACTAAAAAATGTATTTTTGCTATTCATACTAAAAAATGTATTTTTGCTATTCATACTAAAAAATGTATTTTTGCTATTCATACTAAAAAATGTATTTTTGCTATTCATACTAAAAAATGTATTTTTGCTATTCATACTAAAAAATGTATTTTTGCTATTCATACTAAAAAATGTATTTTTGCTATTCATACTA